ATCTTGTCTGGATCAAAAGCTATTTAAGAAAAAGTATCAGAATTTATCGCTCTTTCGAACGCCGCCTACCGCTTGTCTCTACGACGCTCAGGAGTCGAGTTAGACGGGTGGGGGGGGGGGCGTAAAACCGCCCCCTCCTAAAACAACCTCCTAAACCAACCCTCCTAAAGATTTCTGCAACCGTTCTACCCTCATCACTCAACTGAATAATTCTCCCCTTTTCAAAAACGGTGCAGTGATACGGCATCTCAAACCTAGAGCGACTACACTCAAGTTCAAGCTAACGGTCTCCACTCTCCAATTCAGATACCTATCGAAACCTTTCCGCGACCCGGTGCTGTGGCTCAATCAGTGGGCCAGCTGGCCGCAGACCATACCCGCAGGGCATGAACCTTTGACCATATTAGGTCAACACGCCGTGGCCCCAGCCCGCTCGCCAGGTCCGCGCTCATTGGCCGACGCGGCAACCGCACAACCTGTCCCCTCCCCTCCGTAGTACTCGCAGCGGCCGGCGGATTCAGCCAAGTTACCGACCTGCCCAGCTTGGGGAGGGCCGGCCGGGAAAGATACATATTTGACCGACTATACACCGTGTGTTCACCGCCTGTTCCTGGTCCCGTGCCCTGCCATGCCTGCTCCCCTCCATATCCGGTCGGTCCCCGGTCACCGCCGGCTCCGGTCCACGCATTTGTCGTTGGTGCAGGCGCCTGTGGCTGCGCAGCCACGGGTCCTGGTGCGTGGCCCGGCGCGGCGGGCGCTGGAGCCGCCATATTATGTGCCGGATGTGGTGTGCCGTCCATTGGTGGTCGCCATAATCCTTGTGGTGGGGCCATTCCCCCGGCGAGGGCGCAGTCCAATTCGGCGCGGAGCCGAGCGTCTATGTGCGCCTGTTCGCCGCTGGCCGCACTAAGCGGCCGTAGTTCTGTGCACACAGACGGGTAAACATCGTTAACGTTTCGTATATCTCCTTATATGGGCACCGCCGGTACCCTAGTGTCCCGCCGGCCGGCCGCCCTCCCCCCCCCCCCCCGTCTCCCAGGACGGCGCTGCGTCCATTTGTCCTCCCTGACTGCGTGAGGGGTTATCCTGTGCAAATAACTCCCGACCGACTGCTGGAGTCGTGGGTCCCTTCCCAGTGTTATCGGACAAAAGGTCAACCACTTGGCCCCACAGAGGTGACCCCTGCGTCCCTCCCGCGCCTTCCCCTCCCCCTCGTGAACTGGCGGTGGTTTTACACGCCGCGACGCCCGGCGGCGGTGTCACGACGTGACGTAACGGCTCTATTACTGCTGACGGCCGAGTGTTGGCCGCCCGACCGGTGGGCGCGTGCAGCGGAATGGGTGGGGGTAGCCCCGTCCGCGAAAACACAGCTGGCACTCCCCGGCGGCCATCACGGCGACAATGCTTTGATGTGTGCATTTGTTCTGGTGACGTCACCCGGCACCCAACGAATAGCGTCATTGGCTTCATCTAAGTCAGGCGGGGCGCCGCGTCGATATGGTTTAGGCATACCTGACGAACAGCGAATTTCACTGACAACATGATTCATGCATGTTGAATCGCCGCATCAGTACGGTTCAGGCGTACCGGGCGCATGGATGAGCCCACATGGTTCAGGCATGTGTGACTTGGCGCTGCGTCGATATGGTTCAGGCATATCTGACGACCAGCGACTTTTATTCTGTCAACATGAATCAGGCATGTTGCATTGCCGCACCGATACGGTGCAGTCGTACCCGGTGCATAGACGAGCCCACATGGATCAGTCATGTGTGGCTTGGCGCTGCGTCGATATGGGTCAGGCATATCTGACGAACCGCGAGTTTACTGTGTCAGCATGAGTTATGCATGTTGCATTGCCGTACCGATACGGGGTAGTCGTACCCGGCGCATGAATGAGCCCACATGGTTCAGGCATGTGTGGCTTGGCGCTGCGTCGATATGGGTCAGGCATATCAGACGAACAGCGAGTTTTAATGTGTCAACATGATTAATGCATGTTGCATTGCCGCACCGATACGGTGCAGGCGTACCCGGCGCATAAATGAGCCCACATGGTTCATGCAAGTGTGGCTTGGCGCGTTATCGTTCAAGCATGTTTGACGAACAGCAAGTTTTAATGTGTCAACATGATTAATGCATGTTGCATTGCCGCACCGATACGGTGCAGGCGTACCCGGCGCATAAATGAGCCCACATGGTTCAGGGACAGGCATGTGTGGCTTGAAACTGCGTCGGTATGGTTCAGGCATATCTGACGCACAGCGAGTTGTACTCTGTCAACATGAATCAGGCATGTTGCATTGCCGCACCGATACGGTGCACGCGTACCCGGCGCATAAATGAGCCCACCTGGATCAGTCATGTGTGGCTTGGCGCTGCGTCGATATGGTTCATGCATATCTGACGTACAGCGAGTTTTACTGTGTCAACATGATTCATGCATGTTGCATTGCCGCACCGATACGGTGCAGGCGTACCCGGCGCATAAATGAGCCCACATGGTTCAGGCATGTGTGGCTTGGCGCTGCGTCGATATGGTTCAGGCATATGCGACGAACAGCGAGTTTACTGTGTCAACATGATTCATGCATGTTGAATTGCCGCACCGATACGGTGCAGGCGTACCCGGCGCATAAATGAGCCCACATGGTTCAGGCATGTGTGGCTTGGCGCTGCGTCGATATCGTTCAGGCATATTTGACGAACAGCAAGTTTTAATGTGTCAACATGATTAATACATGTTGCATTGCCGCACCGATACGATGCAGGCGTACCCGGCGCATAAATGAGCCCACATGGTTCAGGGACAGGCATGTGTGGCTTGAAACTGCGTCGATATGGTTCAGGCATATCTGACGTACAGCGAGTTTTACTGTGTCAACATGATTCATGCATGTTGCATTGCCGCACCGATACGGTGCAGGCGTACCCGGCGCATAAATGAGCCCACATGGTTCAGGCATGTGTGGCTTGGCGCTGCGTCGATATGGTTCATGCATATCTGACGTACAGCGAGTTTTACTGTGTCAACATGATTCATGCATGTTGCATTGCCGCACCGATACGGTGCAGGCGTACCCGGCGCATAAATGAGCCCACATGGTTCAGGCATGTGTGGCTTGGCGCTGCGTCGATATGGTTCAGGCATATTCGACGAACAGCGAGTTTTACTGTGTCAACATGATTCATGCATGTTGAATTGCCGCACCGATACGGTGCAGGCGTACCCGGCGCATAAATGAGCCCACATGGTTCAGGCATGTGTGGCTTGGCGCTGCTTCGATATGGTTCAGGCATATCTGACGAACAGCGACTTTACTCTGTCAACATGAATCAGGCATGTTGCATTGCCGCACCGATGCGGTTCAGGCGTACCCGGCGCATAAAAGAGCCCACATGGTTCAGGCATGTGTGGCTTGGCGCTGCTTCGATATGGTTCAGTTCAGGCATACCTGACGAACGGCGGGTTTACTGTGTCAACATGGTTCAGGCATGTTGAATTGTTGCACCGATACAGCGCAGGCGTACCCGGCGCATGAAAGGGCCCACACGATTCAGGCATATGTGGCTGGAAGTACGTCGACGTAGGAGAACCAAAAATTCGATGACTTACCGGTCATGTCCGTTCCACGTGTGTCCTGCCCTCAGTCCTCGAACGCTTTTCCGCTTAAACACTTTTCCGTTCTCGCCGTCTGTCACTCCGACGCGTTCTCTACACCCTCCTTCACCTCCGCGCTCGCGTCGCCGACTGTGTCACCCCACGTGTTTTCCTCTCTCTCTCCCCTCCCCTCCGCTCCATCCCCTCTGTTTGTCGTGCGCTATCTCGGCGCGGCCCGGCCCAGCGCCCCTGTCCCGTCTCAGGCCACCTCGCTCTCCGCGCCGGCCTCCTCTTGTCGCCGCCCGCCGTCTACCGCCCATGTTCTTTTCGATTGCTCGTTCTGTGTCACCCCCGTCTGCTCACTTTAATCGAGCCCCTAATCGACGATAGGCTGTCCCTATCCCTGATTGGACAAAAAGAGAAAAGCAAAAGAAAGGGTTGAGAGAAGGATGAATAAGAGAAATTGTGAGTTGACCTGTGTTGAAAATGAAAAATGGTAGCCATTTGTGCATTCTTCGCTAACAACGAAAGACTCAATCCATAACTAAACTTCAAGCATTGTGCATTTATTAATTTCACATTTAACTACCTTTAGGCCTAAAATGCAATGAGTCCATGTGTCAATGCATTCCTTTTTCAAATAATTTTCCAATGTTCTTTCAAGAACGCAGCAGCTATGATAACAATAGCACCCGCTTTCAGCGCCTGGCTCAATTTCTTTTAAAGCCCTGGGATCCCGTCCGCTATCGCTAGTAACTGCGTCGATTTGGCCGACCCCGGTGCCGCTGGCGAACCGTCCCTGCCACACCGTCCTTACTAGCTTCGGCACGATCTGAGCCCGCTGATCCCGCCCCTCTCGCCGGCTCTGGTTCGTTCCGCTGGCTCCCTCGCTCTCCGTCCGACTCTGTGCGGTCGGCCCCGGAACCCCAGGTGACCCTGCAGTGGTCCGTGCAGCCAGCAATCGATGGGCCTCATCAGGTCAGCCGGCCGTTCCATTTGAGACCTGTCCACTGCAGCCGAAACAGGCCCAGTCAAACGGTGAAATATTTATCGTAACTGCCCACCGTGTTATGAGCTCATGCCACACAAGGTACTCGGCAAAGGAATGAAATTATTGAACGGCATTCTCCTTGTAGGTAACTTTGCAGGAAGTACCTCTACAAGAATGTCCGAAGTACCCATTCGGTAATAAACGTTTAAGAACTATGACAGTGGTATGCGTCCTATCCACGTGTTCAGTTTAGATGGAAACGTGACATCGCTCTTCAAGCGAAACACGGTCAATCATGTGCAGTGAAGTATCCCGTGATGATTCCCTGTACCTGACCTTCTTTAACCCTTTCCGTCTCCACGACAGGCAAGGTTGACCCACCCTGACCTTTCCCTCTCCCTGCGACAGGCAAGGGTGACCTGGTGGGCTGCGACATCCAGCGTCACCTGCAGGACGGCAGCGATGTGGTCGTCAAGTCGAGCAGCGACGTTCGGGCGCTCACCTACTGTGACCTCAAGTGTCTGCACATCGGCGGACTGGTGGAGGTGCTCAAACTGTACCAGGACTTCCAGCAGGACTTCAGCAACGACATCCGGCACGACCTCACCTACAACCTGCGCGAGGGATACGAGGCGGACGTCTCATCGGTGAGCGCGAGCGTCTCCTCGGTGAGATACTGAATGGTTCGTGGGTGAGGTGAGATCCTGAGCAGCGCAAGCGGAGAGCCCCGACCATCCCCTCCATGAGAACCTCACACACCGTTTGGCGCTGACATTTCGTCAAGGTTTCTTTCTAACGATAGTTTGAGAAACCGACTTGTCATCCTGAAAAAAGCTAGGAATGCATACTACAGCTGAATACAGAATGCGGTCTGTACTTAGAAATCGATGTATCGTAATGTGATTTGACATTAGTATGTGGCTGCCGACCCAGCCATCTGAATTAAACAGCGCGCGCTATTCTCGGGAGCGCGCTCGTTTGAAAGATTTGGTCGTTAGTCATGCTATAAATCCCGTGAAGTGGCTCTTTGTCACCGTTACGTAGGTCGTTGATTGCTGATTATCTGTCATGAAGTGCTTTGCGCTTACTAATATTTTTAAATAAATTTTAACGCTTGTTTAGTCCGAAGCTCCAGTGAAATCTTCGTAGCAAATGCACTTTGCATGGTCCTTTCAAATGGAATACCCAATTTGGTCTATACTAGTTACATTACGATGTTGGCGAATGCAATAAAATACCGACGAAAAAAAAAACTATATTTTCCGTCGGTATTTTTCCAGAAATTATACACTCCCTCTTTCTTTCTACTTCTCTTTCCCATCCCTCCCTCCCTCATCCTCCGACCATCTCTCCCTAGACTGTCTGTCTGCCTGTCTGTCTGTCTGTCTATCTGTCTCTCCCTCTCTCCCTCTCTCTCTCTCTCTCTCTCTCTCTCTCTCTATCTCTCTCTCTCTCTCTCTCTCTTTCTCTCTCTCTCTCTCTCTCTCTCTCTCTCTCTCTCTCTCTCTCTCTCTCTCTCTCTCTCTCTCTCTCTCTCTCTCTCTCTCTCTCTCTCTCTCTTTCTCTCTTCCATCTCTTCCTGAATCAATTTGCACATGTCAGCGTCGAAGGCTTTTCTCGAGTCGTAAACTGTCCCACTGCGGTGCTGTGGGGTTCAGTGGCCGTTTGGCCGAGAGTGGTGACCATTGACCACCATTGGCTGACTGCTGTTCCTCTCGGGGTCAAGAAAGCTATACCATACCGTGTACTCTGATCACAGGGTCAAATAGCAATGACACAATGCTGCTAGAAGGTCATGGGGTGAAACTGCATCTATAGACACGGCTTCCCAATAGTGATTTGCAATTAGGTGGAGTGGGTCGCAGACTAAATTGTGCTATTGGCTTTACTTTTAGCATAGATAACATAATTCTATGCTTTTACGATGTCAACTTTCGGACTGGGGAATGCAGATATAATACTGTGTCAAGGTGTTGTTAATGCCAAACTTTTAAAAGCTTGTTAAAGCTGAGCCGTAGTTACTTCGTACAAAAGCGGCACAAACAGACCGATACCAGGCAGGTAGGGTAACTTTACTTGTCATAGATATTTGACAGACAGACTTTGTCCATCAGATAGCTGTGTTAGCCCGCGCCCGGCTGGGGGTCCTGGATTTCCACGCCCTGCTGGGGGGGGGTGTTTGAACATCCCCCCCCCTCCTAACTCGGCTCCTGGGCCACGTAGCGATACGCGGAAGGCGGCGTTCGAAAGAGCGTCAAAAATAATGACGAAATCACTTCAGTCAATTTTTGGTCAGGTCAAAGGTCAGGTCACCAGAGGTCATTGAAGGCAAAATTTCGCCGATTTCCAGGTCGAATGTCGACAATTTCCAAGAAGCCAACGCATAACTCGGGAACCAATAGAGCTACAGCGCCGCGGAAAAGCGCATTCGATAGCCCTATTAACGTCCTTTCTGAATAATTCTCTCAGATTTGACCTAACGTCAACGGTTTTGCCTGCAGGGGGCAAAAACTGCAAAAATAGCCGATTTTTTCGGAAACAGTTTTTCTGCAATAACTTTTGACCCAAGCATTGTACGAGCTTACTTTTACCGGCATCGTGTTCCTCTCGTCAAGACGCATCGAATGAACTATAACTTGACCTTGAAAGGTCAACTTGAAAATTTGACCTCAGGTCAAGGTCATGACCTGACCGGAAAGGGTCATGTTGCATATCAGTCGATCCGTATCGTCGAGCTGAACACATCTAAGGCGTTTTCATCGCTCTAGCATGCCTCTATCAAAAGTTATTTGCGAAAAAAACTGTTAGATACCATTCGTGACCTAAGATGACCTCAGGGCATAAACAGGGGTCACGGACACCATTTTCATGTTCAGTGTGTCTAAACCACTTGTAATTCAGTGTTTGGGAGTGTTTATAATGTCTTTCGTCCAAAGGAGGCGCATTTCAATTTTCTCCCATTGACTTATAATGGGGAGGTCGCAAAATTGACCTGACCTTAGGTCATCGATATCAAAATTCTGAGATAAACATTTTGTACATGCTATTGCTCTTAGCAATCGCTGAAAGTTTCAAAGCGATCGGTCACTCGGTGTAGCTATGACAGACATTGAAACTTTTTATGAGGTGAGGTCACTTCAAGTGACCTGGTGACCTGACCTTGAATGACCTTGGTCTGAAATTTTCACAACATGTGTAGAATTGATGTATGATAAGTGAACGAACGATAAGTGAAGATAAGTTTGAGATATTCGCGAAAAACCACAAGGGGGGTGTTCAAACACCCCCCCCCCCCCCAGCAGGGCGCGGGTTAGTTAGCGAAAACACTTCCTGTAAATCGAGGCAGCTTTTCAACTATTTCAGAAACATTTTGTGATAAAGCAGAAAAACAGATGTTGGATGATAGAGCTGTAAACCGAAACAATGCTTTTGCGTTGAGACAATGTCTTCCCTTTGTTAGTCCGGGTTATCAAAGTCTCATACTACTCGAGTTCGCTCTTCTGAGCCGGCGCACTCTGGGAACACGGTCTCTGTGTGGTTCGTTTCCGTGCCTTTTCTCACCCTGGCGCCTTCCTTTGAAGTTTGCCTTTGCCGCTGTGTTGGCCGGACGATCGCACCGGTCCGTGAAATCGGCCCATAAAACACCCATTCAGCGCGGTCCAGCGAACCACCCAGCGCTGAATAGACGAGCGCGACTGCAGGACACAGGAGTTGGCACGCAAAAACGACTTCAGACACTTCCGCCGAGTTCTAAAACTCGAGAACATTTGACCCTAAGGCAACATTTCGTCTATACAACAACGTTGTACAGAGACAAATGATAACTCAGTTACTTTTCATGAAATTATTCATCGATAAAGCTAGCTCGGATCTCTTTTTCAAACTATACTTCATCCTCAGCTCAGATTTGATAATGAACCTCATTTCCATAGGTCAAATATTACGTTCCGTAAAATGTCCACCCTTGCCCTTCCGTATAAATTTGCCTACCTGCGTGTAACCAGCTCCTGCACTCCACGTCACCAGGACACGGAGAACAGCGTCGGCCCCGGTCACACTCTGCCCTCCATCAGCGAGGACAACGAGGCAGTGGAGGAGGCAGAGGAGGTGGAGGACCCGCCACTCTCGCCACAATCGCCCAACATGCGCCGCAATGGCAACAGCAGACTCTTCTGGTAAGTGTGGTGTCGAAACACCTGTAGTGAGAATGTAGAGGTGTATTGTTGTGAAATGTAATGTGGTTCTGTTTGGGTGTGCCTTAGCAGCACGGATTCGTGCTGCTGTTGCGTTTCATTTGTTTATTTTGTTACTGTACATTGTGCCCTTTCCCGTTTACCGCTTACTGCATCTTTGGTATAAGCATAATCTGTGGATATCATGAGCAAAATATCATGCTCAAAACAAGAAGTAAGGTCCGCTCAACTTATCCCCACAAACAAGACAGCTGTGGTAGTTCCCACCAACCACACACTGCCCTTGCCCTGAGGCCTTGACCGAACTATCGAGCGACGAACCAGCGCTAACAAGGCTTTTTCCGCCGCAGGTCTAGTACCCTTGACCAGTTGAGTCGAGGGTCAAACAATAACGTAGAGTTGGTTAGCTTGTGAACCATTCAGGGAAACAGAACAGGTTAAACTGTGAAGCCATAATGAGAAAGGCATCATACCAGAGTATTCTTGGACTGATTTCGTTCAGCCGAAGCGCCGACGCTCGTAGCGTCAAATTGAAACAGTGCGAAGTGACGCTCTAAATATTTGCTGAAGGCGTGTGAAGAGATTGCGGAGCTTTGGCCTGCGGCGAAGCTGGTTAGTTTTTCATGAGAGCGACGCGAGCTGTCGCCCTCGCCTTCAAGCTCAATTACGGTGATAGTCACGAAAGCCGACAGCAACGAATGAGAAAGTCAGCTTAAAGGGCTTGAAGCGTTCAGGATTGAAGTGTTTGGAGTGCATAGAGTTGGAGTGTTCAAAGTGTGGAGTGCCTTGAGTGTTCAAAGTCTGAGAGCTTTGGAAGTCCCGGTTAGAGTGTTTGGGCTGTCGCAAGTGTGGAGTGTCCCGAGTTTCTATGTTGGAGTGTATAGAGTGTCCTGGGCTGAAGTGTTTGGAGCGCTCAGGGGTGTTCGCGCTCCAGCTGAGCTGTTCGGCCTCTCGGCCCAGTCACCAGGGACAGAGGCGGGCGGAAGCGGACACAGCGCGGCCGCCCGGTCTCAGAAAAGGCACTTCAGCTGGCAAATGACGCGCCCCGCTGGGAATGCAAACACGACCGCGCTGAGCAAATGTTGAGATTTGCTTCCCTCATATCTTGGCTGAGGTGGACAGAATTAATTAGTAGCGCTTCACTGGAAAAGTACACATGACGTAAATTGTCATATGCTTTTGAAACGCTGGTGGCGTGAAATCACAGTTAGTTACTTGTGATTTGTGAGACACATTTCTGGACATTGCACTATATTTCCATTGTCACTGCCCGTGAAGGTTAAGTTCAGAGAGATCATGATTGATCAAAATGGCACGATGCGATGCCTTCAACTTTATTTACTTACTTTATTTATTCTCTTTAGTCACTTTAGAGCACCGTCTCTTCCGAAGGTACGTACCATCTCGGCGATAGAATTTCACAGCTTGATGAAGCCGTCCCTGTCCGCCAGGCAGGACACCAGTCCGCTAAGTGCGTCCCTCGGACGTTCACTGTCAAAGAGTCGCATTTTTCCGATACCGTTCCGTCCCGTTGAGCCGGATTTATCGGCCTTATTATAGCCGGCAGTCCATGTGTCAGGAAGGTTCGACGCAGAGTCGACGCAGAGTGCCGTAGTCGCGTCTTATTGCTGAACTCGGTCACAGTACAACATGCGGGCACTGACCGGTGCATGGCTGAGGGACTAATTTCCCCCGGGACGGCCCGTTGCGGTGAGAAGATGCCTGGTTGAATGTGCGGGACGGCAGCTGTTATACCAGTCTTTAGCCACTAACCAATTCATGTCGACTGCGGTCTTGGGAGGTGCGCGCTGTTGAAACTAGATGCCGGAAGCGATGGAATTAGGTCCAAAGGCATGAGAGATCATCGCATCTATGCATAAACACCCCAGTGATTTCGACAAAAAAAAAATAGACTTAAAAAGGTCACGAACTTCAAAAGGTGCGACACTACAAACAAAACTATGAGAATTGCTTCTGAAAGTTTCGAACAAACCAACGAGTTCCGCCTTTTGCAGAGCTGGTTAGCCGCCACTTTGTCTCTGTTGCACTGCGCCAAATGAGATGTCCAACTAAATCTCGACACTAATTAAACCGGCCGTGTTAGTGAAGAAATGGCGCCATCAGGAATGAATAGGGCAATTTATGCTAATAAATGAAGGTATCATATAAACATTCCGGCCTAACAAGCCCCGCAAAGTTCGCTGAACTGGGTGTGATGATCGCATTCGCTGAGCTGAATCTATTAGCAGCGCTATAGGAAAATAACTCGTCGCTGGTATGCGTCAACAACCAACGCAGGTAAAATGTATCCTCAATTTAACACATTTTGGAAGAACGTCATTGCCATTGAATAAACAGGAAACTGGAGCAATACTTTTAACAAGTTAAGATCTAAGAGCTTTTTCCTTTTCTCTCCTCGTTTTGAACTGGCTTTACAAGTCCTGTCTTGTCACTGATTGTGTTTTACGGCATATGGGGATGATAATTTAACCCGCGCCCCAGTGGCGGTCTCCGCCAACTTCGCCCTAGTGGGGGGGGGGGGGCATATGTTACCACCCACCTCTAACTCAAAAACTAAGAGGGCTAGAAAGACGCGGTAAAAAGCAGTCGATAGCTTAGCTCTCAATGCGTACGTTTGAAAGTATTTAAGTCATTTTTCATCTTAGAGCAATATTGGGGTCACCAGAGGTCATCAAAGGTCAAAATTTGCCAATGGTCATTATATTTTTCAGAAAACATTCCGTTATTTCAGGAACTATGGTAGCTAGAAAAACGCATGGAAAAGCAATCGATAGCTCTTGAACTCTTCTTTTGAAAAGGTCATTATCAAAATTGACCTCAGGTCACGGGTTTAGCCTCAAGAAGGCAAAAACTCCAAAAATAGCTGTTTTTACGAAAAGTGTTTTTCGACAATAACTTTCGACAACAAAAAGCCACGACATTTCTATTGCCAGAATCGTTTTCCTCTCGCCGAGACGCGTCGAATGAACAATAATTTGACCTTGAAAGGTCAATTTGAAAATTTGACCTCAGGTCAAGGTCATGACCTGACCTGAAAAGGTCATGTTGCATATCAGTCGATGCGTCTCGGCAAGACAAACACAATGAGACCATCCCCAGCGTTCTATCTCTTTCCAATCGCGAGTTATTGGCAAAAATCTGTTTGTAGCCTCAAATGACCTCGGATGACCTTTCTAGAGGCTATCAGCAAAAATGACACCCTGGTCATCACGGTTGGTCCAAATCATTGTGATTCTGAAATAGTTGGACTGTTCCTATGCGTACACACGGATCTAGAGACATTTTCATTTTTCTCCATTGACTTGTAATGGAAAGGTCACGCCACTGACCTGACCTTAGGTCACGGATATAAAAAAAATCCGAGATATACAAATTGTAGGCACCCGTAACATCATGCAATCCACCAAGTTTAAAACCTTTCTGACAAACACTGCAGGCTGGACATGATTGCAAACTTTTTTAGGCTTGGTCAGTTAACCTGACCTGGTGACCTGACCTGACATGACCTGGGGTCAAAAATTTCACACATTGTCCAAAATTGATGTACCAAAAGCTACCCCAAGCGGCGCGGCGCTATGCGCCGCGGTTTTTTATTTATATGCAAAAAACGCTACAGGGTGGTAACATATGCCCCCCACTGGGACGAAGGTTAATCGGAACGTCTATCCTGACCCTCGACTAAATAAACATCTGTTCACCCCTGTACTGCTCGATATTTACCAGAGCACCAGCATTTCTCTGCACCAATATTCCGGCGCTCGTCTGGGACTCCTGCCGCGCCATCCCGACCGTACCATCAGCGGGCCCGCTCTCCCGTCCCGCACAGCACTCGGCAATCGGTCCGGTGTTCGATGCCTTGTCACGCACAGGCCGGCCCCGTGAAAGCCGGCTGTCACAGCGCTGCTTTCCAGGCCAGGACGGGGGTGATGTGCCCGTCCGTCTCACTCGCTCAGTATTAAACCGGGCGGCGCAGCGGTGCGCGGCCGCTGATGGAAATAGTTTCTCCATTGTGAGAAAGGAGAGCTGGCAACATACGACGCCGACGCGGCCCCGAAGTGTGTTAGATGATTGCTTTTACCTGGGGATCGATGCCGGTCGGCCGACCCGCGCCAGACAAAAGGATGTTTGTCCGGTCCGTCCGACCAGCGTCAAATTGTACCACCGGGGGTACAGGGTAGATTAATGTGCTGGAGATGTAAACATCAGAGATGGATCAGTGTCCGCGTTTACCTCAGCTGAAACTTTACCGCATCAAAATACTCGCTTACACCATCTCATCATTTGTGAATGAAGCAATTTTCATCGATCGAACTCAGCACATACAATCCCCGCCTAGTGGTTGAGAGATGCCGCTCGATGCAAGGCGACTCCGGCCGGCGCGCAGGAGCCCTCGTGTAGTGCGGCACAGCATGTCCCAGGCGGTGGACACTGAGAGCCACCTGTTGGTGGAATAAGTAACTACTGTGCACTGCGGCACAGCATGCTTCAGGCGGCAGACATTCATGGCCAACTGTCGGCGGGATAAGAAACGACTGTGTACTGCGGCACAGCATGCTTCAGGCGGCAGACATTCAGGGCCATCTGTCGGCGGGATAAGAAACTACTGTGTACTGCGGCACAGCATCCTTCAGGCGACAGACACTCAGAACCATCTGTCGTCGGGAATATCAGCTTCATTGTCGGGCGATACAGCATCATTCAGGCGGCATTATCAAACTGGCTAGAGAACGGACGAAATATGCATAGCGAACTTATCGACGCTGTGCTCTCCACCCGTTTTTTCTAGTTTGTGACCTCCCCCCCCCCTACAGTGAGGACTCGGAGCCGCTGCTGCGGCCGCGGCGGGGCGTCGAGCGCAGTCCGCTGGGCGGTCAGCACTCCACCTCCCTGTCGCCGATGGTGCTCCGTCTGCGACGGCTCGGCTCCCTGGACAACATGGCAACCGACCGGCCGCGGGAGAGAGACCGGCCACCCGACGACAGCAGAGCCAAGGTCGACCAAATTCACGACCAGGTAAGGGAGGGGCTGGACAGGGCCGGGGAGGAGAAACTGACCCTCGGGCGGTCGGCGACGGAATGGGTTGCTAAGAGCTGGAACGAGCAGATTTGTAAAGCTCTATAGCTAGAGTGATAGTTCAAACCCCTGCACGAATTAACAACTCGGAGAGACGAACTGTTTTCTAACCTTCCTAACCATTTTTCGGTGTAAAGTTATTAGCTCTGGTTCAGTTCACTGAGCTTCCTGGATGAGGACCACTCTCCCCTGTCCGACCGATCCACCCGTCTCCTGTCGCCCGTATACCCGCCAGTATGCAGATGCAGATGAGCTCCGCGGCTGTCGTTGCAGCGCAATAACGGCGCCGTCAGCCGCCACTCCGGGGAGCCGTTCGGTTGAGTGATGGTCCCCGTTCATGGCCCGCGCCCTGCCCTGCCCCGCGCCGCGCCGATCAGCTGGCCAGTCGATGAAGGGCGCAGGGGTTCGTCGGAAAGTCGAGTCGCGCCCTCCCACGGGCCGGGCCCCGGGGACCGCCGGTCGTCCGCCGCAGCCGCCAGCCGAGTTAATTGACGACCGACTCAGACTATTTTATTGGAGCGAAATGGCTCGAGCGGTGTTACTGCACTGAAGAGGCTGAAACATTGGAGTGGGACTGCTAGCATTACCAATTGGGATATTAGTGTGAGGAAGTTAGTTGGCTCTTTACCGGTTAAACGGTTATATCAAGTGCCAACGGCTTAGTCGCGCGGCTTATGATCCAGTGAGGCAGACTCTTCAAATGCACAGTTGTAGAGCGTGGCTATTAGGCTGATGAAACTCGACAATCTAATGATAGGGAAGCGTAAACAGCACAAATCTCGAGGCTAGAACAAATGAGGCTGGTTTCTATTATTCGTTTTCTGAAGAACTTGTTCAACTGACAAGTCCTACTCCATTGACTCGCGTTTTTGTAAGTCCCGCCCCGTCGCATGACTCATGCATAGGATCAATGCAGATGCACGCCCTCGAAATATTTCGCTCGCTTAATCCTAAAATGTAGTGCGAAGACGGGCTAATAATGCTAGCGGTGACTGCTGCAGCACGAATGTCCAGTATTACGGTTTTACTGTCATCTTACGCGTGGATCGGAGACATAACTGCGCCCGCAGGCAGCGTCTTGGGAGCCGGAAGTTTCCACAAAAGCTTCCATTCGTCTGTCTTATCCGTCTTCATATCAATAAAAAATACACATATTTCCAAAGCAGTCGTCAAACAACAGGGACCAGGTGGACGCATTGTGACGATTGTCAGGTCCGAGGCCCGCGCGACCTACAGAGTTATACCTACCAAAACCTTGAGCTATCTTAGACCGGCGCAGGTCCCTTCGAACTAGGATAGGGCTCTCAGAAACCGCTGTGGACCCTCTGAGACTGGCGAATGTCCTCCGCACTCGGCAAGCTCGGTTTGCTTCAAAGTCTCTGAATGCAAAGGAAAGTGGGACCACTGAAAGGCGCGGCTCTCGGCTCCTACAAGCTAGACCCCAGGCTCTAAGAGGAGCCTGGGGTCTAGCTACACTCCAGCCCTGTCGGTATACTCCAGCCCTGTGTATACCGACCCAGTATTCATCCATGCGGACCGATAGTAACCACCCTCTCCATGTTTCAGGTCCAGACGGCCGTACAGCTCTTACAGACGCTCACGGCTCGCACGGCCCAGCAGCCCGCCGCGCGCGCCACCTGTGACCAGGAGACGCAAACTGAGTTTCCCACACGGATGCTAGAGGAGTTCGTGTCGCGAAACAAGGACCGAGTGCTGGCCCTGCTCGGTGTCGGAGCGGACGGCAACCGCGTCATGAACGCCGCCCACCCGCGCTCGCCGCAGCGGGGCGTCACCTTCGCGCTCGAGATGCCAGTCGGGAAGAGCGAGAACGCCGTTCGGTGTCGCGCCCCCTCACAGGTGACGGACTTTTAGCGCGCGGGTTCTGGCCGCGCGAGTGGGGCGTTGATGATTGTTACGTGCGACGCACAGGCACCCGGGTTTTATCTTTGGACGAGTGTTTGTTTATACCGTGAGTGCCTGTGCCGAGTGGAGGAGTGTGTGAGGTTTGGGAGAGAGTGGGTTCCGTCTGAGAGGGAGAGTATTTTGCGGACTGACCTTATAGGGCGGTTGGATGTTTTGAGACATGTGACGGACGGACGTCGGGCGGCGGCCGAGACCGGCCACTCATATTCCAGTCGAATCAGACGATCTTATGTATATACTTCTTGCGCACTTGTTTCTGTGATCTGCCCATGCCCAAATAAAGACAATATATCAGCTCATCAAACGGTAGTGTAAAGCGCGCTGCACGGTTCAATGAAAGCTCTATGAAGTCCGTTATCGGCAAGTACCGGTTGACTGTGAGAACAATTCTGCGAAGGTTATGGCTCAGGAACAACAGCAACCACTTAAACGCTCTTAGCCATCACGCTGAAACAGCACTCCACAAAGCATTGCATGATGCAGCCATATATGACAATAAATGCATAATAATAGGGTGTGGTGCTTACCAGAGGCCGTCCGAAGAATGTCCGTGAAGTTAGCGTCAGCAACAGCAACGAATACAGCGTCGGATTCAGAATCGCTTCAAAAAGTGCCATTAGGTCAATTGGGGGACGGGGAACACGAATATGACATTTATTTTGCCCTAGCTCCCTTCCTTCATCCCTTAATCGTCCCTTAAAGGACGGGGCGCGTCAAAAGTGCCCCAAGGCTTCGTCTGATCGCCAAAATAATGGTCGCAATCGATTCCTCGGGTCAATATCTAACCTCAGTCGAAGGTTCCAGACCTGTGGCTCCTATCCCTCATCCCTTAATCGTCCCTTAAAGGACGGGGCGCGTCAAAAGTGCCCCAAGGCTTCGTCTGATCGCCAGAATAATGGTCGCAATCGATTCCTCGGGTCAATATCTAACCTCAGTCGAAAATTCCAGACCTGTGGCTCCTATCCCTCATCCCTTAATCGTCCCTTAAAGGACGGGGCGCGTCAAAAGTGCCCCAAGGCTTCGTCTGATCGCCAAAATAAGGGTTGCAATCGATTCCTCGGGTCAATATCTAACCTCAGTCGAAGGTTCCAGACCTGTGGCTCCTATCCCTCATCCCTTAATCGTCCCTTAAAGGACGGGGCGCGTCAAAAGTGCCCCAAGGCTTCGTCTGATCGCCAAAATAATGGTCGCAATCGATTCCTCGGGTCAATATCTAACCTCAGTCGAAGGTTCCAGACCTGTGGCTCCTATCCCTCATCCCTTAATCGTCCCTTAAAGGACGGGGCGCGTTAAAAGTGCCCCAAGGCTTCGTCTGATCGCCAAAATAAGGGTCGCAATCGATTCTTCGGTTCAATATCTAACCTCAGTCGAAGGTTCCAGACTTGTGGCTCCTATCCCTCATCCCTTAATCGTCCCTTAAAGGACGGGGCGCGTCAAAAGTGCCCAAAGGCTTCGTCTGATCGCCAAAATAATGGTCGCAATCGATTTCTCGGGTCAATATCTAACCTCAGTCGAAGGTTCCAGACCTGTGGCTCCTATCCCTCATCCCTTAATCGTCCCTTAAAGGACGGGGCGCGTCAAAAGTGCCCCAAGGCTTCGTCTGATCGCCAAAATAACCCGCGCCGTGCTGGTGGCCTGAACTTTCCGCCGAGTGCTGGGGGGGGGGGCGTTTTCACGCCCCCCCCCCCGTCTAACTCGGCTCCTGGGCCACGTAGCGACACGCGGTAAGCGGCAATCGAAAGAGTGTCAAAAATAAGGACGAAAACACTTCGGTCATTTTTTGGGTCAGGTCAAAGGTCAGGTCACCAGAGGTCACCAAAGGTAAAATGTTGACTATTTCAACATTTTGGAAACTGCCAACGGCTATCTCGGGAACCGATAGAGCTACAGCGCCGCGGAAAAGCGCATTCGATAGCCCTTTTACAGACCTTTCTGAGTAATGTTCTCAGATTTGACCTCAGGTCAACGGTTTAGCCTCCAGAGGGCAAAAACTCCAAAAATAGCCGTTTTTACGAAAAACGTTTTTTCGTCAATAACTTTTGACTCATAAGCGCCATGACATTACTTTTGCCAGCATCGTGTTCCTCTCGTCGAGACGCGTCGAATGAACTATTTGTTGACCTTGAAAGGTCATTTTGAAAATTTGACCTCAGGTCAAGGTCATGACCTGACCGAAAAGGGTCATGTTGCATATCAGTCGATCCGTATCGTCGAGCTGAACACATCTGACGTGTTTTCACCGCTCTAGCACGTCTCTATCAAAAGTTATAGCCAAAAAACTGCTGGCGACCGTTCATGACCTGAGATGACCTCAGGGGCACACAGAGGGGTCACAGGTGCATTTTTCCTATTCAGTGTGTCATGTTTACCTATGAACCGATGTTTGAGAGCGTTTTGAACGATATTCGTCCAAAAGAGGCGCATTTCAATTTTCTCCCATTGACTTATAATGGAGAGGTCGCAAAACTGACCTGACCTTAGGTCACAGATATCAAAAATCCGAGATATACATTTTATACATACTGTTACTCATATCAATCGCTGAAAGTTTCAAAGTGATCGTTCAGTCGGTGTAGCTATAGCGAGCCTTTACTTTTTCTGAGGTAAGGTCACTTGACGTGACCTGGTGACCTGACCTTGAACGGCCTAGGTCTGAAATTTTCACAACATGTGCGGAAATGATGTAGGAACACGTGTACCAAAAACGGCGGCGCTGCGCGCCGCCGTTTTTGAGATATTCGCGAAAAACCTGAGGGGGGGGGCGTAAAAACGCCCCCCCCCCAGCACGGCGCGGGATAATGGTCGCAATCGATTCCTCGGGTCAATATCTAACCTCAGTCGAAGGTTCCAGACCTGTGGCTCATATCCCTCATCCCTTAATCGTCCCGTAAAGGACGGGGCGCGTCAAAAGTGCCCCAAGGCTTCGTCTGATCGCCAAAATAAGGGTCGCAATCGATTCCTCGGGTCAATATCTAACCTCAGTCGAAGGTTCCAGACCTGTGGCTCCTATCCCTCATCCCTTAATCGTCCCTTAAAGGACGGGGCGCGTCAAAAGTGCCCCAAGGCTTCGTCTGATCGCCAAAATAAGGGTCGCAATCGATTCCTCGGGTCAATATCTAACCTCAGTCGAAGGTTCCAGACCTGTGGCTCCTATCCCTCATCCCTTAACCGTCCCTTAAAGGACGGGGCGCGTCAAAAGTGCCCCAAGGCTTCGTCTGATCGCCAAAATAAGGGTCGAAATCAATTCCTCGGGTCAATATCTAACCTCAGTCGAAGGTTCCAGACCTGTGGCTCCTATCCCTCATCCCTTAATCGTCCCTTAAAGGACGGGGCGCGTCAAAAGTGCCCCAAGGCTTCGTCTGATCGCCAAAATAATGGTCGCAATCGATTCCTCGGGTCAATATCTAACCTCAGTCGAAGGTTCCAGACCTGTGGCTCCTATCCCTCAACCCTTAATCGTCCCTTAAAGGACGGGGCGCGTCAAAAATGCCGCAAGGCTTCGTCTGATCGCCAAAATAAGGGTCGCAATCGATTCCTCGGGTCAATATCTAACCTCAGTCGAAGGTTTTAGACCTGTGGCTCCTATCCCTCATCCCTTAATCGTCCCTTAAAGGACGGGGCGCGTCAAAAGTGCCCACAGGCTTCGTCTGATCGCCAAAATAAGGGTCGCAATCGATTCCTCGGGTCAATATCTAACCTCAGTCGAAGGTTCCAGACCTGTGGCTCCTTTCCCTCATCCCTTAATCGTCCCTTAAAGGACGGGGCGCGTCAAAAGTGCCCCAAGGCTTCGTCTGATCGCCAAAATAATGGTCGCAATCGATTCCTCGGGTCAATATCTAACATCAGTCGAAGGTTCCAGACCTGTGGCTCCTATCCCTCATCCCTTAATCGTCCCTTAAAGGACGGGGCGCGTCAAAAGTGCCCCAAGGCTTCGTCTGATCGCCAAAATAAGGGTCGCAATCGATTTCTCGGTTCAATATCTAACCTCAGTCGAAGGTTCCAGACCTGTGGCTCCTATCCCTCATCCCTTAATCGTCCCTTAAAGGACGGGGCGCGTCAAAAGTGCCCAAAGGCTTCGTCTGATCGCCAAAATAAGGGTCGCAATCGATTTCTCGGGTCAATATCTAACCTCAGTCGAAGGTTCCAGACCTGTGGCTCCTATCCCTCATCCCTTAATCGTCCCTTAAAGGACGGGGCGCGTCAAAAGTGCCCCAAGGCTTCGTCTGATCGCCTTGGGGCACTTTTTTGGCGATCAGACGAAGCCTTGGGGCACTTTTGACGCGCCCCGTCCTTTAAGGGACGATTAAGGGATGTGGGATAGGAGCCACAGGTCTGGAACCTTCGACTGAGGTTAGATATTGACCCGAGGAATCGATTGCGACCATTATTTTGGCGATCAGACGAAGCCTTGGGGCACTTTTGACGCGCCCCGTCCTTTAAGGGACGATTAAGGGATGATGGATAGGAGCCACAGGTCTGGAACCTTCGACTGAGGTTAGATATTGACCCGAGGAATCGATTGCGACCATTATTTTGGCGATCAGACGAAGCCTTGGGGCACTTTTGACGCGCCCCGTCCTTTAAGGGACGATTAAGGGATGAGGGATAGGAGCCACAGGTCTGGAACCTTCGACTGAGGTTAGATATTGACCCGAGGAATCGATTGCGACCCTTATTTTGGCGATCAGACGAAGCCTTGGGGCACTTTTGACGCGCCCCGTCCTTTAAGGGACGATTAAGGGATGAGGGATAGGAGCCACAGGTCTGGAACCTTCGACTGAGGTTAGATATTGACCCGAGGAATCGATTGCGACCATTATTTTGGCGATCAGACGAAGCCTTGGGGCACTTTTGACGCGCCCCGTCTTTTAAGGGACGATTAAGGGATGAGGGATAGGAGCCACAGGTCTGGAACCTTCGACTGAGGTTAGATATTGACCCGAGGAATCGATTGCGACCCTTATTTTGGCGATCAGACGAAGCCTTGGGGCACTTTTGACGCGCTCCGTCCTTTAAGGGACGATTAAGGGATGAGGGATAGGAGCCACAGGTCTGGAACCTTCGACTGAGGTTAGATATTGACCCGAGGAATCGATTGCGACCCTTATTTTGGCGATCAGACGAAGCCTTGGGGCACTTTTGACGCGCCCCGTCCTTTAAGGGACGATTAAGGGATGAGGGATAGGAGCCACAGGTCTGGAACCTTCGACTGAGGTTAGATATTGACCCGAGGAATCGATTGCGACCATTATTTTGGCTATCAGACGAAGCCTTGGGGCACTTTAGACGCGCCCCGTCCTTTAAGGGACGATTAAGGGATGAGGGATCGAAGCCACAGGTCTGGAACCTTCGACTGAGGTTAGATATTGACCCGAGGAATCGATTGCGACCCTTATTTTGGCGATCGGACGAAGCCTTGGGGCACTTTTGACGCGCCCCGTCCTTTAAGGGACGATTAAGGGATGAGGGATAGGAGCCACAGGTCTGGAACCTTCGACTGAGGTTAGATATTGACCCGAGGAATCGATTGCGACCATTATTTTGGCGATCAGACGAAGCCTTGGGGCACTTTTGACGCACCCCGTCCTTTAAGGGGCGATTAAGGGATGAAGGATAGGAGCCACAGGTCTGGAACCTTCGACTGAGGTTAGATATTGACCCGAGGAATCGATTGCGACCCTTATTTTGGCGATCAGACGAAGCCTTGGGGCACTTTTGACGCGCCCCGTCCTTTAAGGGACGATTAAGGGATGAGGGATAGGAGCCACAGGTCTGGAACCTTCGACTGAGGTTAGATATTGACCCGAGGAATCGATTGCGACCATTATTTTGGCGATCAGACGAAGCCTTGGGGCACTTTTGACGCGCCCCGTCCTTTAAGGGACGATAAAGGGATGAGGGATAGGAGCCACAGGTCTAGAACCTTCGACTGAGGTTAGATATTGACCCGAGGAATCGATTGCGACCCTTATTTTGGCGATCAGACGAAGCCTTGGGGCACTTTTGACGCGCCCCGTCCTTTAATGGACGATTAAGGGATGAGGGATAGGAGCCACAGGTCTGGAACCTTCGACTGAGGTTAGATATTGACCCGAGGAATCGATTGCGACCCTTATTTTGGCGATCAGACGAAGCCTTGGGGCACTTTTGACGCGCCCCGTCCTTTAAGGGACGATTAAGGGATGAGGGATAGGAGCCACAGGTCTGGAACCTTCGACTGAGGTTAGATATTGACCCGAGGAATCGATTGCGACCATTATTTTGGCGATCAGACGAAGCCTTGGGGCACTTTTGACGCGCCCCGTCCTTTAAGGGACGATTAAGGGATGAGGGATAGGAGCCACAGGTCTAGAACCTTCGACTGAGGTTAGATATTGACCCGAGGAATCGATTGCGACCCTTATTTTGGCGATCAGACGAAGCCTTGGGGCACTTTTGACGCGCCCCGTCCTTTAACGGACGATTAAGGGATGAGGGATAGGAGCCACAGGTCTTGAACCTTCGACTGAGGTCAGATATTGACCCGAGGAATCGATTGCGATCCTTATTTAGGCGATCAGACGAAGCCTTGGGGCACTTTTGACGCGCCCCGTCCTTTAAGGGACGATTAAGGGATGAGTGATAGGAGCCACAGGTCTGGAACCTTCGACTGAGGTTAGATATTGACCAGAGGAATCGATTGCGACCATTATTTTTGATCAGACGAAGCCTTGGGGCACTTTTGACGCGCCCCGTCCTTTAAGGGACGATTAAGGGATGAAGGAAGGGAGCTAGGGCAAAATAAATGTCATATTCGTGTTCCCCGTCCCCCAATTGACCTAATGGCACTTTTTGAAGCGATTCTGAATCCGACGCTGTATTCGATGCTGTTGCTGACGCTAACTTCACGGACATGTCCGAAGATACCACAAAGGCTTGCGTTTGTCTACGCCGCAAGCAGCCCGCGCCGGCAGGCGGTCCCCAGCTAACAGGAAACGTTACTATGCGTTACTACAACGTTGTCACAACGTCGTGTTTCGGTAAGTTGCGAAATTACGTTTTAATTACGTTGTAGCAACGTTCTGAACGTTGTGAAGCCATGGTTTGGTCCGAAAGTCGTGGTAAAACGTCGTGACAACGTTTTATTGGTACGTTGCAGCAACCGCGCACTTGCAGCATTATATTTTGATACTGCATGGTGACATATATGGCCATATAATGCATTTCCTTTGACTTTTAATGCGCATATTCAGTTTTCATCGTTAAATTTGACATGTTTTAACACTTGGACTGTTCACGTTGTCAGCTGGTGGTCGCCAACACGTTGTTAAAACGGTTTTTCACAACCTTGACATTTTAGGTAGAGGTACTGAATAATTAGCGGTGTTTTTACAAGTAAATTCTGAATATATATATATATATATATATATATATATATATATATATATATATATATATATATATATATATATATATATAGACATGTTATCGCAGCTTTGGCACTCGTTAACTTCTTACTAAGAGACCCTATCGCTCTTATCGTTTTACGGTCGTCGGTGTTATGTTCGAAGATGACATTTTCAAAACTCATTATCAATACATAGTTAAATAAAATCCAAAACATGACCTTAAGTTCAACGCGTTTCGTTGAATTGAATAACTTGCTTCCTTCTTTTACGAATATATAACATGTGTAAATTGCAAAGCGTCATTGGCATGTTTTGCAACATCACAGGCGGAGCTAGAGGCTTGCAACTATCCCTATGTAAACGCGGCTGTTATCCGCGGCTGCCAGCAAGCCACGCGGGCCGCCACTCAGGCGAACGGTGGCTCGCGCCCTGACCTCGCCTGAGGGGCCGTGACGTCAGTGTCACCGGCCGGCGTTCAGAGCCAGCCGGCCGAGCCGCAGTCTACGCGGCGCGAGCGAGCAGTGAGGGCCGGCGGCGGGCGCGGCTGAGATAGCTGGAAGATGAAAGATAGTGCCAGTTGTCTGCGTTTGATGCGATTGACTGGTAAGTCAAAGTACCATTTACGAGTAGCATTTGCAAGATTGTGCCTTATAATATCGTGCGGTCTAGGCTATAGTTCATTGTAGCTCTAGCCTCTAAGGTGTTGACATGTTTGATCTAGCCTGTCGCACTGTTACGGAAAGTGGTGCAGGTATTTTTGTGATTTTTTCATGAATTGAATGTCTGATTTTCCCTCATGTCTTCCCGCAGACGTCCTGCAACTCGTCAGCGCGCCTTGTGGCAGGCCTACTGTCGGCAATGCGGTAGCGAAGTGGCTGTCCGGAAGCTGCGACCGGAACGGGGGGTGCGCAGACCGTCCAGTCAGGCACTGCCAGCTGCCTAGGGACATCGAGGCCGCAAATGAGCCGGTGCCTAACGGTCCGCCGAGTGATCCTCCCAGCGAGGGTTAGTGAAGAAGTGAACTTCCACCAGTTCTGGCGTGCTATAGCGGCTAGCGTCAGAGCCGGTAGAACCCAATTCCGTCCCACGCCCCCATGGGGGCGCCCCTGGGCCCCATGCCCCATCACCGATGCCGCCGCCGCCGTCGTTTTTTTTTTTTTTTTTTGTTGTAAATTGACCTGTATGATGTATTGAAATATACACTTCTTACATGCCTTTTTTTACAAGTCTGGAGAACGGGAAGCCTTCCCGTCGGAAACACATTCTGAGTATGTTGCGAACACGTTGAGAGGGCGTTGCGAAAATATTTAGGACGTTTACTCAGGGTCGCAGGGACGGCAATACGAAGTAGCGACAACGTGGTGCGCACGTGATAAAAACGTCGCAGAGACGTTGCCAAAGCGTTCTATACTCCTTGTAGTCACGTTGCGGAAACGTGGTGACAACGTTCCAGAAACACTGTTGGTACGTTACAGAAAACATTTCATAACGTTGGCGGGACGTTGTAAGAACAGTTTTGGGACGTCACGGCCACGTTACAGAAACGTTGTGATGACATTCAAATGCATGGTCGGATGACGTTGTCACGCCGTTGTCTGGAGTCTACAAAATTACGTTGTCACAACGATAAATCGGGACGTTGTGGTAACCATTTGACAACGTTTAAACGACGTTGTAACAACGGCAAATTGTTAGCTGGGTCACCACCGCTGTCCAACGGGGACTGAGGAAGCTGGGTGGGTCAAGGTCACAGCTCGACACTATTCCACGTCACCCTCAGCGAAGGACATCAGTCCCCAGCCACCACCGGCAGAACGAGTCAGAACTATAGAACTTTCTAAGTTCTTTAAGGACATTATCATCCCAGCATTATGGTGTGGTGTATGTTAGGCCTTCAGGTACACACCAGCCGACCGTCTGAAGTCAGCCCCAGGACATCGGATAAACAAAACAAAGGCAAGTTTTCATGAGCCTCTGGTCCTCCTGGTCCCTGTCAACCCCAATGACCGCAGATCCGAGCTAACTAGATCCATCACAGATCACCCCAGTTCGGTTCCAGACTTGATCCAGTCAACCGCCATGAAAACCCAATACGCCACAGTCAATGAGAAGTTTATTGAAATGCACATGTTTTGAAACTCACAATCTTTTTGGCGTCAAAACTCGTAACAAAGTACAAAAGTCAACACCGAGACAGAGCCCGGGGGCCGATTCTCACCAAAAACAAAAACGGAGAGACAGCAGTAACAGATTTCTGCACTGGCCAAAACTTGAAATTACTCAGTTTTGTACTCGCATTGTATTATGACCAGTACATGTGGTGTGGTGTTGGGGGCCGACCGCGCGGCGGGGGTGCTGGTCGGTCCCCGCGCGGCGGCCGGCCCCGCGCCGGGGCGGCCGGTGGACAGCGCCCCGGCGGCCGGCGGCGCGCGGCCGCCGACCTGCGGACTCTCAGGCCGGTGACTCGTGATGTCCCGCAACATGTGCACGTACGGACTCGGACTGACTCATTAGCGGCAAACGGCATGCAAGGTGGGAGCGGCCAGCACAGCGGCCCGGCGGCCGCCGTGAAAAAGTCGTCACGCGCCAAATCAGAATGGCCTGGGGCGGCGCCGGCCCGCCTCGTTTGGTGACGGATGGTCGGCAGCGGCGGCCGGCGGCGCCCCGCGCGTGCGTGTGCGATGATGCTGTCGAAAACACGCTATTCACAAAACTCGTCTCAGCGACGGCGCACTCTCTCCTTTTAGTGGGAGCCATTCTGATTTGTGTAATCAAGCAGTTTTATCTCAGTACTCGCGCTCTCGCTCAATAAAAGGAAAGGTGTTGTCGCTGGCACGGAGCGGCAGCTCACAAGGGCGCCGTGGCTCCAGCTGGTATCTACACGGCGGCCGGTGGCCGATGGAGCGGCCACCGCTGGCCGCGCGGCCGGCGCCGACCGCCGCCGCGCCGCCCGGCGGAACAGGGCTAATCTGACGGTGTCTGGGAGGGCGGGCGGCAGCGGCGGCGGCGGCGGAGCCCGGCCGCCCGCCTAGGCTTGACTCTCGGAGGTTGTGTTCTCCACGGGCTGGGCGTCAGACTGCCGACAGACGAGTAAGGTGTCACACACAGAGGGCGCCCGCCGACACACCGACTCACAGGGGGCGATAGGGGCACATTGGAGGACACATCACAGCACACCACTGGGGGTTAGTTCAGTCGGAGAACAGACGTTTAAACCACACAACAACAAAGTGCACCAGCTCAAACGTTCGATGGTAAGACCGTAGAATTGGTTTAAATAACAATCATCATCACATGGTTAGACTTCATATCAAAAGAGCAGGCTTTCTTACGTGTTGTGTGAACCCACAAGATACAAAACGTCACGCCAGGCTTTCAGCGAAGCAGCAAAGGCATCTCATAAGATAGGGTATCAAGTGCAAAGGCAATTACAGCCACGAACCACGGGACGAGCACAGATATCACGTTCAACGAGTCAGATACACAGCAAAACCCAGCAACCAAACCAGACCGATACATTTGAAACTCCACAGAACCCCACTCGCAAATAGCACACAGGAGTGAAACTACCAAAAATCTGACGGTGTCTGGTACCAGACACACCACCCCACACCATAACCCCACTCTGCACACTACCCCATGTGCTGTGCATGTGTGCCAGCGTGCCCCGTACTGACCTTGGCCGGTGCGGGCGCCTCCTTTTTGGCCGGAGCAGTCTCCGCGGCGGCGGGGGCCGGTGCCGACTGCCGAACACCAAACACACAGGACAGGCTCAGCGTGCAGGCTGGGACAGACCCGGGCCGCAGAGCTGGGTCCAGAGACCACACAACACATACAGTGCGCCCCCACCCACCCGACAACCACCCGACCGGGCAGGTCACAGGCAGACGCGCGGAGAAACTACCGAGCGTGAACCAAGACAGAGACATGCGCCAGGTGGTTGGGTTTCTGGACGGAGGAGCGAAGTGTGCCGGGAGGATGGGGTTGTGCCGAGTTTGGCCGTCCGGTGCGGACTCTCACCTTTTCTTCCGCGGCTCCTCCGTTCTCCTGGGCGTCTCCCTCTCCCTGTGAAGGGTAACGGCCACTAAATACACACAGACGAGACGGCGGGCGAGCGGGCACAGGCAGGGGCGCGGCACCGGCCGTGAGCCCGGTGGCCCAGCAGCCGGCGCCGCCACGGTACATGCACGTGCCAATGTACACGGGAACCGGCGCCTGGCTACCCTCCCGCGGCTCACCTCAGAGTCTGGCACTCTCCCTCCCTCTCCCTGCCGTCCTCCCTCTACTTCCTTCCTATCTCCCTCCGTACTTACCTTGCCGGTATCCTCGCGGGAGCCGGAGCGGGGCGCGCCGCGACCACGGCCGGCGCCACGGCCGCGACCCCGGCCGCCGCGGCCACGGCCTCGCGACCGGCCGCGGTAGCCGCCACGGCCGCGCGGCCGGTCCAGGTCCTCGTCGTACTCGGCGTCGTAGTCGCCGTTCTCGGCTGCCTCGTCGGCGCGGCGCCGGTATCCTCCGCGGCCGCCGCCGCGCTCGCCGCCGCGGTATCCGTAGCCGCGCGGGCGGCCCCTGCCGCGGCCGCGGGGTCGCGGTGCCGGCTCCTCCTCACCCTCTAGGTGTTCCTCCTCGTCACCCTCGTCATCGCGCCGCCGCCGGAAATATCGCGGGTAGCGCCGGTATCCACGGCCGCGGCCCCGACCCCGACCGCGGCCCCGGGCGCCGTCACCGCCGCCCTCGCGGTCGCCGTCGTCCTCGAGTTCTTCTTCGTCATCTGAAACACCGACACCGACTGTCAACGGAGCCGAAACGACACCGGGTTTCGGACAGGCACAACTCGGTAAGACAAACACAAGGAAAGACACACGTAGGTAAAGGGTCAGAAAGTAGCAAGGATATGCTCATGCACTGTCACACACCGATACAAAAACCGATACAGAAGCGGTCAGAAGCACCGCACGGTCGGAAACAGTTCTGAACAAGCGCAGACTCACAAAGGCACGGACATAGTGTCAGACATCCGAAGACTAGCAAGAACAGACACAGATAAGAACAGACATGGACAATTAACACAGCCACTGATATGATACGGTCAAAGACTCAAATGCCATCCAGCGAAGGACGGCCGTGCAAAGCACCAGCGTCCAGCATGCCGGAAAATATAAACGGATCGAGCATCTTACCTGCCATTGCAATCTGCATTCACTTATCGTATCACATGCCAATTTTTGTGTAACCGAAATCGAGGTTCAAATTAATCTTAGCCATGTTTTAAATACGCACACAAAATCACAATCTCAGGCTCCGCAATTTGAAAGTTACATACTGACGGTACAAATCAAGCCACAACATTTCCGCTATAATGAGGACGCCAATCCGTTCACTCCCTGTGCGATGGGAAGCTCTACAATCTCTGGCGCAGGGAAGACCTACAGAGTCAGCGCACGGCCGGATTACGGCCAAAGCTGCACTCTGGTTACCCGTGGTCTGCCGTACGTCCAGCTGCCCTGCCAGGCCTCAGCGTGCGGCAAACGGGGCACGTGAAACGACCATGCAGAAAACAAATGAAATAAGACAAACCACCTGGCAAGCTACCACAACCTGTGTTTAGAGGTGACAACAGTCGTACTGCCACGCCACTCGAGCAATTAATCGTGGGCACCCCTGATCCGAAGACGTCATGAAGGATGCATACTGCATAGCTGCCCCCCCCCCCCCCATCTCCCCCTACCCCAAGCAGTGCACACAACATTCAACACCCCTATCGCCAAGTGAACCCCCGTCGCTTTAATCACCCCACACCCACTACCACACACCCACTCCCTCCCGTGCTATCATCACGCCCCGCCCGTGTCCCATACTAACCGTGGTACTCGTGACCCTCCTCGCCGTCCTCTAGAACAGTGACAACAGGCACGGATCAGCGTCAGAGAAGCGGCGGCGCCCGGCGGCAGCGGCGGCCCGCACGGCACAGAGCCCACACTGACAGCCGGCGCCGGATGCGACTCAGCAGCAGACGGCCAGCTAAGCCACCGGCCGGTGGAAGCGAAGCTCGGCTAGAATGTGATCGCGCCCGATCGGCCGTCCGAGGGGCGAATGTGCCCGCCGGCAAGCAATATAATGGCTGGTAAGCTGATAGGAGAAGCCCGAGCAAACAGATACTGAGCAGTGCTTTGAAAGATACGGAGAAAGGAAATGCCAGTCGCTAAGGCACCTACGATTACGTTAGCACTCAGTACCGTATTATTCGTTAAAATACTAAAAGGGAATGAAAGAAAGTGACAAAACATATTTAATCTGGAATTATTCATGACAACTAACTCATGCAAGATCGAGAGCATTTACTTTTAGCGAAACGACTTGTATGTTTATTTTGAACAAAACGTACAAGAGCAAAACCAAGTCTACATACAAGTCTACAGTCCGTTGTCTTTAGGTTCGTGATTCATCACTAAATCGGCCGACTTTGTCCATACAAGCAAAGCCACGTGAAGAGTCGAGACATCAGGATATTGACAACCACATACGCAACCATCGCAGACGACTGAAGCACCCGGGAAATAACTATAAGAATATCTTCCCACCCGTTTCATAGCCCTGATCTTGCAACGATTAAATTCCCGTGAGGAAAACCGAGTGCAAAGATTCAATCAAATGCGTAACCCCAGGACATTTCAGCTCACCTCATTATACGGCATCCCCCCCCGCGTCCCCGCCCGCTCCCGACTCGGTCCCCTCACCGTAGAAGTAGCGGCGGTAGCGGCGGCGCCGGTCCGCGGCGTACTTGCTGCCCTGGACGGGCTCGCCCGACGGGCCGGTCACGTTGGCCGCCTCGTTGCCCTTCTCGCCCACCACAACGTCGAATTCGACGATCTCGCCGTCGCCGACGCTGCGCACCAGTTTGCGCGGGTTGTTGCGCGTGATGGCACTCTGGTGCACAAACACGTCCTCCTTGGTGTCATTTCTGGCGGTCGGGCGGGGCGGGGGCAGGGGCGGGGTACGTTAGGCATGGGGCGGCGGCGGGCGGCGGTCGGGCCCGCCTCCCTCTCCTCCGACGGGCCAGGCTATTTTGGCAGGCGCCGGCGCCGACGGGGCGGTAGTAAAACGCGCGCAAAACAGAACGGCGGGCCGCACACCGTCGTACCGCGATCGGGTGGCGGCAGGGACGGCGTCTGCCGCCCGGGTCACCCCGCACGACCTGTAGGGCGTCGGCGACACCCATTACGGCATCCCATGAGTCATCATACCGCCCCACGGCACCGCGTGTAAGGAAATACGGTACCGCGCAGCTCACGTGAGGAAAGAGGGCGCCGAGCCTCCGCTCCGGCGTACCTGTTGATGAAGCCGTAGCCACTCTTGACGTTGAACCACTTGACGGTGCCGGTGACCTTGGTGGCTGAAACGGGAAAACGGGGAGCTCAGCGGCAACAACAAAAAACGGACAACACCTCAACTGACCGATGCGATCAAAGCAAAACATGTACGGCTCTCCAGTAAAAGTCTTGTTGGTTTTGCTTTTTCGGACATATCTGGTCCTATATAATGTTTAAATGCATAAGTATCAACCCGGATTATGTGTATGCACATTTACCACGAGACTGTGAAATTTCATCGTTGTATGCCAAATACTTTCCGAGATATCCACCAAAAACCTCATTTTCTGCCGTTTGGGGTATTCTGGCCGCAATCTTCCTGGGATCGCCTATGACATCCATGGTGCCACCTAGCGAGAGGGACGCGGAAACACAGAATCATGAATGAATCGAGCGCGTAGTAAACGGTGTATGGAAGGGAGACTCGGCAGAGGCTATCCGGGTGGCCGGCGCGCGGCGCGCCCTTAGGCATCGGCCGACCCTTCGGACCGCGTGGGGTCAGAGGTCGCGCTCGGGAAGTCTCGGCTCTGGGTTTTAGCGCTGTGCAGTCAGGAAGGGAGGGGAGGATAGCGCTAGCCCGACTGACTAGTATCTCGGCTGATTCGTGTGGGGTGGAACGGATCACAGAACGGGATGGTGGCTAGTGGTGGATGATGGGATGGTGGTTAGGTTAGTGCGTACTGCGTAGAACGTAGCTGAACATGCTTTTTTCATGGCAAACAACATGCAGCATAATGTGCGGGATTATGCCAGAACTCATACAAAAATGAACTAATATTTCGGCCGAGGGAGTGGATGAGTGCCGTGACAAAGCATGACGATGCTGCCAAAATCGGGATGCTTGTTTGCTCCCATTTTTTTTATTTATTAAGTTTTAACCCTAACATGCAGCGCTTGATCCGAACTTAGAGGCTCCCGACTGACCTTGGACCTTAAAATCGCACCCGTCCGGTGCGCCACCTTTTCTTCAGGGGCGCTCTTCTTGGTTGTATCTGTTCTTACCAATAACTAAAGCAAATCGAATGTATAATAAAAAAGGCATACCTCAAACACAGTTTGATTCACATCCGCTCGTGTGCATACTTGTTTTTACCTATACCTTCTCGCATCATAATATATCACTTCAGTGCTTAACCTTCAACGGAATTTTGGGTTTTCTGCATATACCCCGGCCGAGGGGGGGGGGGGGCGATTACGACCCCTCTCCGTCTTTTTGCCCTTAATTGAGCTAGCGCCTTGCGGATAAAACTGAGCGCGTGCGTCGTATGAGATGCAGCAACTGGTACCCGAGTTGAATGTCTCAGGTCCACCGATAAACTCTGAGGTCAGTATAAGTGCTCCAAGTCGCGGGATCGGTTTTTGGTAAACAACTTCACCTTAACCCTATTCCTGGCGGGGGGGGGGGGCCTCAGGAGCCCCCCTGAGGTTTTTTGGTTATTTCTCCCAAACGCGTTGAGGTAGGAAGCTCAAATTTTCTGACTTTTCCTAAAAGGCTTCTACGCAACATGTCTGAAAATTTTGAGTTGATCTGACCTCAGGTCAGGTCACCAGAGGCGGTTTGGTGACCCTACCTCAGAAAAGTTTGCAATCACGCCAGAGCTAGAGTTTTTGACCGATCAATTTCTTCTCTTCAGGCTTTAGTTAGGGTACCAGTGTGTGCAATTTGTATATCTCGGAATTTTGATATCGGTGACCTAAGGTCAGGTCAGTTTCGCGACCTCCCCATTATAAGTCAATGGGGGGGAAAATCAACTCCCTGTTTTTACCACTAAAACGGGTCGGAATGGCCCCATATACCATTACCATACATGACTTCATATACGATCAACCTTCACTACCTTGAGGTCTGTTTTGCTGTTGGGCAGCTGTGAGGTCATGTGACGTCATCAAAGGTCACCAAAGGTTTTTGGCCAATAACTCCGTACAGGAACAAGATACAGACGCGTGGATGGTCTCATTGTGTTCAGCTCGTCAAGACGCATCGAATGATATACATGATGACCTCGAGGTCACGTGACCTGAGGTCAACCTTTGACCTTGACCTTTCGAGGTCAATATATATATATATATATATATATATATATATATATATATATATATATATATATATATATATATATATATATATATATATATATATATATATATATATATATATATATATATATATATATATATATATATATATATATCATTCGATGCGGATTGACGAGAGGATCACGATGATGCCCTTAGTTTGTTCCTATCTTGACTAATTCGAAAGTTATTCGAGAAAAACTCTCTCCTTATCTAGCGCCGCCATTTTGACTTTTTCGACCCCTGTGACGTCATCTTTGACCTGACCTGAAAATGACCTGAGTAAAAATTGTAGATCTTGACCGTGCGTATCCGATGCCGTTTACCGTTTGTCGCTGCGATGTGTAGTTTTTGAGATCTGAAGGGGGGCCGAATCGGCCCCCCCCCCGCCAGTTTCTTGTCCCGGCGGAGCCCGCCAGGAATAGGGTTAAGTGGTTACAGAGCCAAGAGTTTTGCATGCTCAAACGCGTCGAATAGTTTACGCTTTGTTTTTGTTGAGGTCAATTCAAGGTGTTTACGTCAGGTCATGTCAGGGCAGAGCCACTCAGGCCACGAGGCTGACTCAAGGAGGTCATGTCGCTTCTTCGATGCGGTAGGTCCTTACAAGTCCACTGGTGGCTTCCCGACTCGCTAGCTCAATTTGATCGGGACTTTTTGGTGAAATCTCCTGTGACCTTAGTGACGTCATAAATGAAGTCGCCTAACTTTAAGAATGGAAAAGTGAAAGCTGGGGCTTGCAAAAATTGTATAAAATCGCGAATTCATGCGCTTGAGACAGCTTTAGATGGCTCCCGGCGCCAAAATAACAGTTTTCATATTTCCCAATTGATTAATAATCGTGAGGTTGCGTGACCGACCTGACTTCAGGTGACTCTTAAGAAAAATACGAGATAGCTACATACAAGTTGTGAGGCCTCTGGGAGATAGTACTAGATCATATAAGCTTCATTCCCCGTTGAAAAGTCCCCTGGCACGAAGGGTGCTGCGACGTCGCGACATTTTGGGTCCTTACAAAGGTTCACTTTTGACGCCATTGGTCAACGGCCTGACCTTAACCTTCGCACTTGTAGGAGGGTGTCGAACAGACCTCCTACCCTCAGTTTTTTCGCAAATAACTCGCGCAAAATGCGGCTGATTGCGGCGAAACTTGGGTGGGGCAGCATAATCGGGAATGCTTTTTGGGCTCTGGTCATGAGTAGGCATGGCATTATTTTGATAAATTATATCATGGCAATGAAACGCCCAAAAGTTGTGCATCATCTGACATGACTACATCCATGAGCATGCAACTTCCTGGAAAAGAGCAGCAAAATAGTTCGACGGTGCTCCAAGTGCTTTGCGCGCGCCCATAGACACTAATGTTAAACGAGTAAAACAAGAACATTTTGTTTAAAACAATGCCATTCCACGTAAAGGTTGCTGGACAGATCAACGTGTTATCACGGACGATAAGGATTGTGTGGGGATACTTAGGACAAAAAGTTAACGTAATCGTCGTAAAATAACTCTTAGCAGAGGACATACAAGATGACTCACTTGAATATAAGGAAGAAGCTCTTGAGCATATTAAAAAGAAACAATGTTCAAAACTTCAGCGACCAAAAATCTTATCACCGACTGGAATACGATAAAAAAGAATGGCATGCCATATAGGGGATTGTATCGAGAATATTGCAGCGGTCATGCAAAGTAAACATCCTGTTGAGGTGATGGACCTATGGGTGGTCTTCAAGGGAGGTGCACGTGGTGCACCCTACTTCATCGAGCCCGGATAAAACGAGCACCTCTGGTAAATACATCCACACTCTGGCAGACTCACGTGGAGTCGTCGGAAGAGAGGATCACTGACGGTCCAGATCACGTCTTACGAGGACTCTGTCCGTGCTGGTACTGCAGTGAGGACGACATGTTATTGTGTAGGGCACCTCCACCTGAGATGAACCAAAAACTTCTGGTCCTTCAACTCCGCCGATTTAAATCCGACCAAATTCTTTATATGGAGCGTTTTTTGGTAGAAGTTTAATGAACAACTTATCATCAGTAAAAACGGTCTTCAGTGCAAGGTACGAAGCTGATGGGCGATCATGGACAAGCAGGAGGTTGCACGTGCATGCGCGTGCTTTTGGACCCGCCTTGAGAAGGTCATCGACGCGAAGGGCGGTCAAATAGGATGAGGGATAGGTAAAAGGTGACCGATTGATGGGATGTTGTTAAAATAGTGCTTGGAGCTATATTTTTAAATTCATGACCAAATAATCCCGTTTGATATTTATTCCCGATTATGCTGCCCCACCCTGTACACTCGAGTTATTTAATATTACGCCTACCCTATAATTTGCATGACCCTGACTCAAAAGACCTTTGACTTGTGACCTGTTTTCCGAGACCATGTTTGGCCGGAATCGCGTTTTGGCGTATTTCGTGTAGAACGGTTTTTTTTTTGTCTTTTTGTGGCTTTAACCCGCGCGGGGCTGGGTCTCCAGCCGAACGCGCGGGGCTGGGGGTGGGTAAATTTTACCCCCCCCCCTGTTATCTCCCGAACTAATGGTCCGATTTGGAAAATTCGAACACCAATCGAAAGATCTCATCACGAACAACTAAAAACATGTACTTAATTTAAAGTTTGAGCCTTGAGGTCAAGGTCAAGGTCAGGTCAAGGGTACAAATTGCAAGTTTCTACAGTATCGGCCTTGCACCGTAGTTGCCGAAGAATGGACTGAGACTGACTGCCCAAAACGTGTTTTTAGGCTACCAAGACAATATTCGCTGCATACAATTTCATTCAGAGGTCAAGGTCAAGGTCAGGTCAGGTCAGGTCAGGTCAGGTCACCAAAAACAAAATGTAGAAAAGGGCATGTGCGACACATCTTTTATGGGTAATTTTATGCATAGAATTCAATAGGCACACTCAATAGGTGATATGGACCACATCTGGATGAATTTCAGG